GAGGGAGGGAGGGAGGGAAGGAGGGAGGGAGGGAGGGAAGGACAGTGTCTGTGGAAATTCCAGTTATTCCATTTGGTAGCTCAGAATGCACTTACAGTATTTAAAAAACAGGTAGGAGTAAAAAAAGTATGGCAACTTTAAGTGATCATCTGGAGATGATTTCAGTAACTATGGTGATATAACACATCAGAAGGAGACATAAAATAAAAAAGAGGGGCTGGGAAGGTGGCTCAGTGGTAGAGCGCTTGCCTTGAGCTGAAGAGCTGAGGGACAGCGCCCAGGCCCAGAGTTCAGGACCCATGACAAAAAAAAAAAGAAGGAAAGAAAAAGAAAAAGAAAGGCCGTAGGAATACAGAAAGGAATGTGTGTGTGTGTGTGTGTGCGTGTGCGTGTCTGCACGTATGCAAGCAGGCGTGTGTGTGTGCATGTGCGTGTGCGTGCAAGCAAGTGTGCGTGTGTGCAAGCAGGCGTGTGCGTGTGCGTGTGTGCGTGTGCAAGCAGGCGTGTGTGCGTGCATGTGTGTGCGTGTGTGTGCGTGTGCGCGTGTGTGCGCATGTGTGTGCACGTGTGCACATGTGTGCAAGCAGGCGTGTGCGTGATCCCGGGGCTTGAACTCAGGACCTTGTGCTCTCACCTGGCTTCTTCACTCACGGCTGGTGCTCCACCCTCTGAGTCACACCTCCACGTACAGGTTTTTGATGATTTAGTGGAGATAACAGTCTCATGACCCTTTTTCCTGGGTTGGTTTCACATTAGGCTCCTCAGGTCTCAGCCTCCTGCATAACTGGACCATAGGCATGAGCCGGTGGCTCTCGGGTTAACCACCGTGAAGTAGCCAGCCAGTGATCCAGGCCAGTAGTGAACAGGCCTGGCCAGGTGGCTTGGGCCAGCTGCTGAGGCCTCTTCATTCCCACACTTCCTCGTCTGTAGACAGGTGTGGAGTCATAGCACCCTCACAAGAGGACTTCCTGGCTGCCTGCGGGGGCGGGGGGCTGAGGCTTCTGCGAGGAGCTCATGGCGTGGTCCCCGGTAAATATACGTCCTCCTTGCTTCCTTTGGTATTTTGCTGAATCTAGCACTGGGCTCTGCACATGCTCCATTCTCATCATAATGAACACATTTTATTTAGCCTGGAATCAGATATTAAATATACAGCCACATCTTGGTCAGGCCTACCCAAAAAAAGCAGGCAAAACCCACTTTAAGAAAACCAGGAAACAACTTTACCAAAAAGAGCCATGTTTAATAACCACATGTTTTAGTGTGTACACTTATAATGGACTCAGCTCATGCCCAGAACTGCTATGCTTTTTACCCACTGGTTTTTCTTCAACTTTAGGCTACTGACCAAATAATTGCCCGTTGAATGTGAGCCTACTACTGGAACTATGGAAAGCCTATGCTCTAGTGGTGACAATGACTGTGAGCGACGGCCTAACAGCGCTCTATGGAACTGCGTTTCTAGGAGAAGCTTATCCTGGGGTGGAGAGATTTTCCAAGAAGACAGAATGGTTTGGCCATTATTTACCCACAAAGAGCCTTTTCAAGAGAAAAACCTGTTCCAGACAGTACAAGCCCATATGGTCTTGTGATAGGGTAAGTCGTGGAGAGGACCATGCTGGGGTCACGCTCTGAGAGCTACATCAAACACTTCTGCGTTTTCTATCATACGTTATTTTCTAAAGGTTGTAAAGCTTTTTAAAATGAGGATTCTACCTGAGGAGAATACAACATTGCCATTATAGACTTAAATACTTCGATAAGCAGATCTAACAGGCAGAGCACAAATCAATTAAAACCTTTATGTACTTGCTTCATTCTTTGAGTATACGTGTGTGTTGTGTTTGTGTGTACCTGCACACGTATGCACATGTGCACGTGCCAGCCCTGGAGCTTTAACTCAAGGCCTGGGCTGCCCACTTGAGCCACAGCACCACTCTCCCAGGTTTTTTGGTGCTTAATTGAGGATAAGAATCTCACACTTTCCTGCCCAGACTGACTTTGAACCTCAGTCCTCAGACCTCAGTCTCCTAAGAAGCTAGGATTACAGGTGTGAGCCACCAGTACCTGGCACTACTCATAATTTTTATATTGAACACATTAAGCCCAAATTAGGCCATAATTTAATACAGAGGAAGTGACAGGCAAATGGCCTCTCCCATCTCTATGAGGCAACAGTGAGGAGAGGCCATGTTTGGGGTGTGATCAAGAAACAAGTATTCATTTAACTTTTATAGGCTTCCACATGACAACTGAGCACTAAGTAGTGATTACATCATTCACTGGGACGACCGATGGTATTACAAAGGAACTTTGAGACCTCCACTCATTTTGTTGTATCATTTCTAAATGACTTCATGATCTTGACCACATATATGGTGTGTGTGTGTGTGTGTGTGTGTGTGTGTGTGTGTGCACATCTGAGTGAAGCTAAGAGGAAGGCACAGAATCACAGGGAAACAGGAGGAAATATACAACAGAGGGGCCCATCGGGGCACTGGACATTGATGAAAACAATCTAAGCAACTCAAGGGCAACGATGGGAGGGAGGGGAATGGGAGGGAAGGAGGGAACAGCTGACACTAAGCAAAAGGAAAGAAAGGTACATATCACCCCATTTGGAAGAAATAGTTGTATTGTCAAAACTCATAGAATTCAAACATTATAGACCATGATAATGACCATTTGCCTTGTGAAGGCTAAAATGTGCTTGTGACTTTAAGTATCACTATCTCACAATACTGTGAAATTTGTAAAATTTATGTAATCACTTAATCTCAATAAAAAAAATCATAAAAAAGAAAGGTGGTGGTTTTATTCAGCTTCCCCTCCCCATTCTAGAGATTACTGGAGACACCACAAGTGAGACGCGGGCTTGTTAAGACTCCATGGCTCTTTGGGGTGCGTTTGTTTAAGAGTGAATTCGGAGTTACCCCCGTACACAGGGCAGTAACCAGCCACCACACCCACCTTGAGTTATCTCTTATTTGAAATGCTTGTGACCATGAGGATTTCCAATTTCAGAATTTGGTAGATTCTGGAATACATATATAGACTTTACATATTCAGTATTCCTAATCCAAGAAACCAGCATCTGAAATGTTCCAAAATTCAAAGTCTTTGACCACCACTGTCCACAGTCCTAAAGTTTCAGACTTTGGAGCATTTAGGGTCTCTGAGTTTCTAGCTATAGTTGCTCTAAGGCGTGACTGCAGCGTCCTTCTCCAGTGCGGTGATGCAAGGCACGCCCAAAGCTTAGGCAGCGCTGAGCTCACACAGAACCTGGTCCAATGATGCTTTAAAGACCAACGTTCCTCCTCCAACAATACAGCACATCTGCTACATCACCTCCACCCAGGAATCCTAGAAGGTTGCAAATACTAACACAGCCATGTGACACAGCCGATCAACTATGCTACCTCACTAAAGAAAAATGCATTTCATTGAATTCTCCTCCTTTATTACACGTGGCTTGAGAATAAACAAAACAGTGTGCTTAAACACAATGCTAATCCAAATGCATGCCAAGATATGGAAACAAAAAAAATGTAACTTTGATGAATCTCTTCAAGTTTAAATGTTGGCTTTTATTCTAGCCTGTTCTAGGCAACACTCAAAGTTTAAACAGTGTTTAAAGAATTTTTTTTGCTTTAAACAAAGATGATTTGTTTATGTCTTTGGGGAGAAGGCTATCTCTCTTGGACTGAAGTCGAAGGGGAAAATGGTCAAAGTATAAGCCCAGCACATCTGCCAACCCTGCCACAAACTGATGTGACCCAAGCCACCTCAAGTTCTGAGTCCTGTTTACTTGGTTTATTCAAGTCAGGACAGCCATTTTGTTAAGGCCCTAACCCAACCACTCAGCTAATGTTAGTCTAATTTATAGACATTTAATACCAAGTCATTAATCAAAAGGTATCACTGAAAACACTGCAAAGTATTGTAACAGTCTATGTTTAGTAGGAGAGGCCAATTATAGCACTAAAGGCTCTCAGACACAATAGAAAAATAATTGTGTGCCTAAAACTATATATTTGTTTTCTGTGCAATTAGAAATTCCTATCCTGAATTTTGCTTATGCATCTTTCTTCCTTTTGTTGTGCGAATATTGGGCAGGAAGTGGTGGTGGTAGTTATAGAAACCCTTTAAGATAGGAAGAATCATCTAATCATCTTTCCATTTATAACAGAAAGACTAAGCAGGTAATGTTGTAATTTCCTAAAAATACTTCAAGAATTAAAATATGCACATTTATATAAAAGTTCTTTAAAGATGCAATTCTTATTCTAATCTATATCCCAAAATGTTATTTGTGATTAACACCATTTCCTTAGCTTAACAATTACCCAGGTAATAATTTTGACATTGTGATTCCAACTAGCATGATGTGCAATTTGCTTTGCTAGAAGCTTTTTTTTTCCTTTTCATCTAGAAAAATGACATACTAGATAGTTGTATTCATAATAGACACTGGTGTTTAAAATTTGGTTCCTGGAGATGATTTGCACAAGTCAACTATTAGCTTTGTGCTGATATTTTGCAGAAATGTCAACGACACCTCAGATGCACCTGTTTTGTTTGGCAGTAAGGATGTTTGTTATTTTACCAATATTCCAGGGGTGAACAAGTAGCATTGCTGAGGGTTATAATATCCATGTGCACTGGGCTGAAACACGGGACAGTATTTGATCTGCATGCCAGGGTGGAGGAATTTGACGTGTACATTAACTAGGTAACAGCTCCCAAGACGCCCTTACCGAGCAAGGTGCAGAGCAGCTTCCACCACGTTGGAGCCATCTTTGGCACTTGTCTCACAGAACAACGCCCCGTAGGTCTGCAGAAAAGAAAGAAATCCACACACAAACCAAGCTTTCAACGGGGCCTTTTGACATTTTAGCTATTAGAAACCATAAAATCCAGCAAAGCACACTTTCCCACTGAGCATGCTAACAGTGACTAACAATTAGGAAACTGAGTTCAAGCTGAGCGCCAGAGGCTCACACCTGCCATCCCAGCTACTCAGGAGACTGAGATCTGAGTATCACAGTTCAAGGCCAGCCCAGACAAACAAATCTAAGAGATTCTTATCTCCATCTAACCAACAAAAAGCCAGAAGTAGATTTGTGACTCAAGTGGCACAGTTCGAATTGAGAAAAAGGCCAAACAAGCATGTGAAGTCCTGTGTTTAAGCCCCCTGAGTCAGCACGTGCACATGTGTGCATGTGTGTACTCACACATATGCGCACTTGCATGCACACGCACACACACATACACAAACTGAATTGGAATTTTAGTATTCAAAAAGTAGCAAATCTAATTGTAATTATTCCAGAAATAGTTTTTAGTCAGAGGATTATTTTGCATTGAAAATATGTAAGATTTCATATTTTACCTGCAAAAAGCACCGGCAACCCCGGTGCTCTTAAGGAACAATCAGCCCACTGCAGTCCTGTTGTTCACCTTGCTGACAGCAATGGGTGTGACCAGTGCACCATCATTCTCTTTCAATTCCTTCACTGCTTCGCATTCTTCTTTAGGTTATGGCCCTGCTTATGCAGCCTTGGCTGATCTCCCAGTTTTACCCCAATGACTCTAGCCTTCTCTGTTTTTCTCCGGTGCCCAACTCTCCACTGACCTCAAGACCTTCCTACCTGCCTGGTCTTCCAATTACTTAGGTTGCCCTGACCCCTCCATATCCTTTTCTTTTTTTTTTCAAATTTTGTATTGTGATTAAGTGGTTACATAATTTCCCAAATTTCACAGTATTGTGGGATAGTGAAGCTTAGTTCAAAGTCACAAACACATTCTAACTTTCCCAGAACAAATTGTCTATCGTGGTCTATAACATTTATGAGTTCTATGAGCTTTGCTATACAGTTATTTCTTCCACATTGGGTACATGTGTACATTTCTTTTGTTTTGCATAGCGTCAGCTGTTCTCTCTTTCCCACTTGTTCCCTCCCTCCCATTGCTGCCACTGAGTTGCTTAGTTCATTTTGGTCAATGTCCAGCGCAGTTGATGGGTCCCGCTGTTGTATGTTTTTCCCTGATTCCCTCTAGTTCTGTGTCATCCTCCTGGTTTTCTTCCAGTGTGCACTTTCAATATCCTTTTCTCTAATCTGACTCCTCCTCATTTTGGAGATCCTAAGGTAACCCCTGAAGTTCACATTAAGTAGAGTCTAACCTTGAATAGCTCTACCAAGTCTTCCTGGTAGAGATAAAACCTCACAGGTATTTTCTGAGTAGTACTTGCAACAAGTTCAATTTCTAGTGTTATTTCTGTTTCTGTCCAACAAGCAGGAGACATTTTATCTTAAGAAAGATGAACTGAAGCCAGGCTCTAGTGGCTCATGCCTATAATCCGACTACTCTGGAAGCTGAGATTTGAGGCTCAGGATTCGAAGCCAGCATCGGCAGGAAAGTCCATGATACTCTTTTCTCCAATTAACCACCAAAACGTGGAAAGCAGAACTGTGACTGAAGTGGAAGAGTATTTGCCTTGAACAAAAAAATTCAAGGACAGCACCCAGGCCCTGAGTTCAAGCCCCAGGATAGGCACAAAAAGAAAAAAAAAAGAAAAAGGAAAAGAAAGAAGAACTGGGTGTGTTGAGGGCCTCGATGTGGGCTTAATATTCCCATATGTGGTAAGGGAGGATCTGATGACTTTGTGGAACAAGGAGACAGAGGAGAGACCAAGACTGGGGAAGACTCCACAAGGGGACCTGCATCCAGCCGCCCCAAGTGATAGGAAAACATACACATACCATGGAAGAAGGAAATGGGTGGCTATCAAGGTGCATGTATCTTCCATCTATCATCCTAGCTACTCAGGAGACTGAGAACTGAGGATCGCCACAGGAAGCCAGCCTAGGCAGACAAATCTATGAGAGTGTTATCACCAATTAACCAGCCAAAGGCCCAAAGACAGAGGTGTGGCTCAAGCAGCAGAGCACCAACCCTGAGAGAGAGCCAAGGGTCCTGAGTTCAACCTCAGTACCAGCATGTGCATGTGCATGCACATGCACACACACATGGACACAGGTTGTGCTAAAGCTGACTTCCATATGCAGGATGTCATAGGATGACATGTGAGGATGTAGGAAACTGGAAGTCATAACATGCTTGAGGAAACAAAGCTTGAAGACGGAGGGCGAATGAGACCGGAGGGGACAGAACATTCCCAAACCCCCAGAAGGGCCAGGGCTGCCTGCTTTGCCTCCTGATCTTTTCTCAACCCATAACAGAGTAGACATGACTACAAGTGCTGACTGCATCTCCTTTGCATTTCACTGTCAAGTTTTAATGTTTACCATATTTGGTCTGCAGTTATAATACTCAAAATATGCATCTGATTAAAATTTGTAATGTGAAACTTTTTAAAGTTCATGCATGGCCAGAAATCCTAGCTACTCAGGAAACAGATTTAAGGATCATGGTTCAAAGCCAGCCCAGGTAGGAAAGTCCATAAGACTCCTATCTACAATCAATCACCAAAAAGCTGAGAGTGGAGATGTGGCTCAAGTGATGAAGTACTAGTCTTAAACAAAATAGCTCAGGGACAGTGCCGAGGCCCTGAGTTTAAGTGTCAGGATGGACACACGCGTGCGCGCGCACACACACACAGACACACATACAAAAAAGAAAAAGGAAAAGATAAAAAGTGTCCTTCCTTGGTGCCAGCCACCAATACCAGCCATCAAATGAGGCTGACAACAGGTGGGCCTGCTCAAGGGAAGGAGAGTCCTTCTAAAGGCCCGGCAGCCTTCACACCTGACAGTGATGGAGGAAAACATTCCCACAGTAGTAACCCACACAGAACTTACATTCTTCCTTCTGCTAATGTGTAGCCCAAGAAAATGTCAGATGAAGCACAAATCTGTGTCTGTGTCTCTGTGTACGTCTTGGGCTTCACATTCTGCTTCGCTTTTCACACAAGGCTAGCACTCTTATCACTTGACCCACAGCTCCACATCTGACTTTTTTCAGGTTAATTAGAGATAAGAGCCTCACAGACTTTTCTGTCCAGCCAGGCTTTAAACTGTGATCCTTGGATCACAACCTCTGGAATAGCCAAGGATGACTACAGGAAGAGCTCTGGAGTAGTCAGGATGACTACAGGAAGAGCTCTGGAGTAGTCAGGATGACTACAGGAAGAGCTCTGGAGTAGTCAGGATGACTACAGGATGAGCTCTGTATCCAGGATGACTACAGGATGAGCTCTGGAGTAGTCAGGATGACTACAGGATGAGCTCTGTATCCAGGATGACTACAGGATGAGCTCTGTATCCAGGATGACTACAGGATGAGCTCTGGAGTAGTCAGGATGACTACAGGATGAGCTCTGTATCCAGGATGACTACAGGGAGAGCTCTGGAGTAGTCAGGATGACTACAGGATGAGCTCTGGAGTAGTCAGGATGACTACAGGAAGAGCTCTGTATCCAGGATGACTACAGGGAGAGCTCTGTATCCAGGATGACTACAGGATGAGCTCTGTATCCAGGATGACTACAGGGAGAGCTCTGGAGTAGTCAGGATGACTACAGGGAGAGCTCTGGAGTAGTCAGGATGACTACAGGAAGAGCTCTGGAGTAGTCAAGATGACTACAGGAAGAGCTCTGGAGTAGTCAGGATGACTACAGGGAGAGCTCTGTATCCAGGATGACTACAGGGAGAGCTCTGGAGTAGTCAGGATGACTACAGGATGAGCTCTGGAGTAGTCAGGATGACTACAGGGAGAGCTCTGGAGTAGTCAGGATGACTACAGGATGAGCTCTGTATCCAGGATGACTACAGGATGAGCTCTGTATCCAGGATGACTACAGGATGAGCTCTGGAGTAGTCAGGATGACTACAGGAAGAGCTCTGGAGTAGTCAGGATGACTACAGGAAGAGCCACCAGTGCCCAGCCAAAGCACAATCTTTCCTGTCTTTTTATGTTTAGCCGGGCACCAGAGGCTCACACCTGTATTCCTAGCTACTCCAGAGGCTGAGATCTGAGGATCGCCTTTCAAAGCCAGCCCAGGCAGAAAAAGTCCATGAGACTCTTATCTCCAATAAACCACTAGAAAACCAGAAGTGGTGCTGTAGCTCAAGCAGTAGAGCACTCGCCTTGAGCTGAAGAGCGCAGAGATAGCACTCAAGCCCAGAGTTCAAGTCCCACGACCGACAAAAAAAAAAAATATCTTTAAATGGTTTTACAAAGGAGTTGCCATTTAACAAAGCAGTTTCTGAATACACTATCTCTTGATCACTGTCTCCCCTTTCAACATTCTCACCCATTCCCACCTTACCTACCGTTATCCTCACCCTTCCTAATTTTGTACAATATACACTGGACACTTGACGGTATTCTCTCTTCTCCTCTCTTCTCCTCTTCATTCCCTTTCCTCTTAACCCTATCACATGCCTTTTGAATACCTGCTTTCTGGTGTTTCACTTTGCTAAACTTTGATTTTGCCTTTCTAAGGAATTACACTATTTCAGTTCTCTATTGAATCTACTGTTTATCAGTTAATATACTTGTATACACTTGCATATCACCCAAAGTGTTTATTTATAAGTGTGTAAGCTAAATTTAGCTTCCATATATAAAGGAAAATATGCATCCTTTGTCTCTCTAGGCCTGATTTCACCTGACCTACTTTTTCCAGGTCTTTCTGTTTCTTTACAAATGGTATGGTATCATTCTTTCTAACAGATGGGAGGAATTCCATTGTATGTGTAACACATTTTCTGATCCATTCATCCTCTCAGGGGCATCTGGGCTGATCCCATGCCTGATCCAAAGCACAATCTTCAGAAAGAAGCCTTCGCATTCCCTCGAGGTCAGGCAAAACAGTGCTCTGTATGGTGCCTCTCTGAAATTGATCCCATCTTAATAAAGTAGAATACTCCTTCTTTTCCTTTCATTCCAGGAACCAGACAAGAAGGAAGGGAGATGGGAGATTACTGTGGTCATCTTTGTCAATAAAATCAGTGGGAAAATGATGATGAGATTGTCTTCCCTTCCTGAAGAATTTACTCCTAGCCATAATTACTTTAATTCCTGCAGGGCAAAGCACTGGGAACTCGACTGGTGTAAGAAAGACAGACACCTGGTCAGACAAGGTGGAGACTTGCCAACCTCTTACACAAAAGAAAACTAAAGTGAAAGGCCACTAACTCTGAAGCCATTACACCCCTCTATTCTCTTCCAGTTCTAGCCCACCCTCTTACCATGGCCAGTTTTTCTCCAAAATATCCTGCGACACATTTTTGTCCTTCGGCAGTGGCGGTGTCACGAAGATCAGCCTTGTTTCCTACCAGCATGATAGGAATGGTCTCATGGGTTGCATCCTATCATGAAAAAAAAAAAAAAACAGGCATCCATCAAACATTGACAAATTACAGTGACAACAGCCACGATGGTTATAATAGAAACAGTTGTCTAGTTGCTACAAAAATGTAAATATAATATCATTGCATTCATAGTTTTTCTCCTGTGTGTGCTGGTACTGGGGCTTGAACTCAGGGCCTGAGCAATGTCTTTTAGCTTTTTCACTCAGGGATGCTACTCTAATACTTGAGCTACACCTCCACTTCTGGCTTGCTGCTGGCTAATTGGAGATAAGAGTCTCATGGACTCACAGATACTCAAACTGAAATCCTGAGATCTCAGTCTCCTCAGGAGGTAGAATTACAGGTACAAGCACCTGGCTTCATTCATAGTCATTTTAGCTGTATTTGGGAAAATAAAGTGCTTATTTGTTATTATTTTCTTAAGTCTTATTGCTAATTGAAACCTAAAAATCATTTATATTTAAGATAATATCTTTAAACTTCAAAAATCTCCCTCAGTACAACCATGCTTATGTCCCCATTTTCAGGTAAGAAAACTGAAATTCAGAGAGTTAAGAACATCTCAGAGCCAATGCCTGGATCCAAACTGACTACACAACCTCCAACTACTCCATCCTCCATGCTTGCTAATGAAAAAGGGTAACAGGCACTGAGAGTAATCAGATTTACAGCAAAGGAAATAGGTATCTGCTAATTTCTTACCTCTAGTACAATAACCAGTATCAACTAAGAGGCATGACCACCGACATCGATCTAGTTGGGAGTACCCAAAGGAGATAACAGAAAATATTCCGAACATGTAAAACTCAGAGAATTCATCAGGTTTCAGGTATCTCCTTCCAGCTTTTACCTGGTCATTCAACAAATTATTCATAGCAGGCAAATTATAGGCAAAATCCTATTACAAAATTCTGTAGCCCAATATTTTCTATGTGTGCCAGTCCTAGGACTGGAACTCAAGGCCTGGGTGCTGTCCCTGAGCTTTTTTACTCAAGGTTAGCACGCTACCAACTGAGCCACAGCTCTACGTTCAGCTTTTTAGCAGTTGTTTTCAGTTAAAACTCTCTTTCCTGCCTAGGCGGGCTTCAAACTGTAATCCTCAGTTCTCGGCCTCCAAAGTAGCTAGAATTACAGGCATTAAGCAGCAGCACCTGGTAACTAGTGACTTTTAATCAAGGTATGCCAACTATCAGTTCAGAGATCCACACATTACTAACAGTCTATTGCTTCTCAACCCCTAACCTGTCTCAGAGACGGTGTTACTCATTTCTACCCAACTGAGACTGGGCACCCACCGTGGTCTTTATAGGATTGCCCCCAAGCTAGAAAGACATCATGGAGAAGCTTCACTGCACTCATTCTTTTCCTACAATGAAATTCAAATGCCACGTAGTATCTACTTTTCCCCATAACAAATGGAAGAGTGAACTCTAAATAGTTTTCCTCCTTTCAGATCCCATGAAAACAAAGTATCAATACTGAAAGAATTGCTGGCCACATTGAGGTGCTCAGAAAATTAGATCCCCTTTTCCTGGGCATACTGTAATCTATAAGCAAGACATTTCAGCCCTGGAACGCTTTGCTCAGGACTCAACTGCCCCATGCCAGGGAGGGTATTTGTTCCTATGAGTAGACATACCTTCTACATGCACGGCCAACCAGACTTCGGCATCCATTTCTTTTCATTAAAGGCTTATTCTGCAAAACCTGCTGCTTGCTCTGTGCTTTATCTAAGAAGCCACCAGTGTTGACTGAAGCCCAATTTAGACCCCATTCTACTTCTAACCAAGCAAGTACCATATGCTTCCTACACCTCCAGTTTGCCATATATGAGAATATTTCTGACTTCCTTAGGCAGATGTTAGAGAGAGGAATGCAGCATATGGAAACATTTTGAAGTAACCATATTACACATATAAGTATACGTTTGTTACCGTTATTATAATTTCGCATTACTATCTTTTGATGGGATGATGTGCACATTTATTATTGCTGAAGTCATACTGTAAATTGTAATCAGCTATTTCTTTATTATTATGTTTGTTAGAAAGAACATCCATTTCAGGGATTAACTTCAGATCAGATAGCAACCATCCTGCTTAGCCACTACTGAAATTTAATGTCTATTTAAAATTATAGATGATATAGATGAACAGTCTGCTAATAGTTTATTTGACAAGACAGTACATTGAACCACAGCCCAAACTGTAGCTTTTTGTGGACTCATAACTGTTGGCAGGACATTAAATGTGGTCAAAATCATTTCCTACAATAAGAATTCTTAGTGGGAGCTGGTGGTTCATGCCCATAATCCCAGCTACTCAGGAGGCTGAGATCTGAAGATCATGGTTTGAATCCAGCCCAAGAAGGAAAGTCCATGAGACTCTTATCTCCAGTTAACTCCCAGAAAACCAGAAGTGGCACTATGGCTCAAAGCAGCAGAGTGCTAGCCTTGAACTAAAAGCTCAGGGAGGCTGTGAATGTGGTTTAGTGATAGAGTGCTGCCTAGCACGCATGAAGCACTGGGTTCGATTCCTCACTATTACATATACACCAAAAAAACAGCAGTAGAGCTGTGGCTCACAGTGGTTGAGTGCTAGCTAAGGTCTGCACAGTACCCAGACCCTGACTTCAAGCGCAGGACTGGCCAACAACAACAACAAAAACCCTCAGGGACAGTGCTCAGGCCCTGATTCCAAGTCCCATGACCAACAATTTAAAAACAAGTTTCTTTACCATGAAAATAAGTGATATAAAAGCACCTCAGGGGGCTGGGAAGGTGGCTCAGTGGTAGAGCGCTTGCCTTGCATGCCCGAGGCCCTGGGTTCGATTCCTCAGCACCACATAAACAAAATGAAAAAAGCCGGAAGTGGCGCTGTGGCTCAAGTGGTAGAGCTGTAGCCTTGAGCTGAAGAGCTGAGGGACAGCGCCCAGGCCCAGAGTTCAGGCCCCACAACCAACAACAACAACAAAAAAGCACCTCAGATAAAATACACAATAATCTAATTTAACAACAGATACTACCCGACACATTAACAATGCCAGAGCCCCACATCATGACTAAAGTAACGCTCCCGACACATTAACAATGCCAGAGCCCCACATCATGACTAAAGTGAGGCTCCCGACACATTAACAATGCCAGAGCCCCACATCATCCGATCCTCACATCCACCTGCGTTCCTAACACATATGAAATCCCCTACATACTTTCACCCCCAAAGCAGTACCCTCTTCTTTGTAAAATCAATTTGCATTTTGCTTTGATTATATAGGGTTCTCTTAACCCATAAAAGATCTCAGAATTTTCATTCCCTGAAGATACCATCAGTAGCATCCATGGTTTGGGGGCACTTGTGTAACGCCCAAGAGGGAGGGCAACTGTGGCCAACCGCCACGGGACATGGCCTCCAGCATGCCACTACGGCTTCTAGTCATTCCAGCATTTTCTGAGACTGTTCATACCTCCACCTTGTAATTTTCAATTTCTTCATTTTGATTCCTTACCTCAACCATATCTACCCATTCTCGTACATTAAGGAAGCTTTTCTCACATGTAACATCGTACAGAAGCAAAACACCATCTGCTTTTCGGAAGTAGGACTTGGCAATACTTCTGAATCTGGGGAAAAAAGAAAAGCACATCACACTCAGTCAGCGAGGCGCTGCCTCCCCCTTCATCGTTATGCTCACTTCTTTCTCTCATCTTCTAAGACCAGCCAAGTGAGAAGAGTCCATGGTGAACACTGCTATGAGTCAGCCCTCACCAAGGCTCTGAGTGACACCGTGAAAGGGGAAAACATGAGGTCCTGGGTGACTGACTTAGCAAAGCCAAGCATTTTTTCCTACCAAACAATCCTAAGGATGTGTAGCGAAAGCATAACTAAACTTCAACATCAGCAACAAGCTACCAGGACCTCCATCAGGGTCGCAGAGGAAGCTGGAAAGGCATGTGTGCAAGCAATGTTACATTGAGTCTGGTGGGCAGGGAGGGTGGGATAGATGGAAAGACTAAGAATATGGAGTGTCACAGTGTACATGCCAGACACTGCATCGTGAACATAGAAGATTCACGACAAGACTGCATACATCAAATAATGTGCCTGTCTGAGCTCTAAACCGACCATGGTAGGTTTTACTAGGGCCATGTCAACCATCAGACCCACTGAAATGTTGAAACTCCGTCTGTCAGTGAATCCAAGTTTCATGAGGAATTGCTATCTCCTTGTCCTCAGCCACTGAATAGTGCCTGGTACAAAGGCAGGCGCCTCAGATTTACTTACTGAACAACTGAGCAGACTCTGTCCCCACAGAGACAGACAAAATTAAAACCTGTGCCTTGTTTCTAGCCACAGAAATGAATGAGAGATAAGGAATCGTCACCAGATGCTATTCAGTTTACATCTCTGCCTTTAGATCAGGGGTCTGACAGATGCTCTGCCCCCTCATTTACTGTTTTGTAGCTAAAGGAGTTCCTTCCATTGTTGCTGCATTCAGAAGTGCCAACTCACTGAAGTGCTCCTGTTAGGAAAATGCAGTCTTTTTGGTCCAACCAAACATCACTCAAATGAAGCCTAGAAACCCTCTTCTCCCACAACTGAGTGGATGTGAAAAGGTGAGCACTACAGAAATTGTTATATACCGGGGGCTGGGAAGGTGGCTCAGTGGTAGAGCGCTTGCCTTGTATGCCTGAGGCCCTGGGTTCGATTCCTCAGCACCACATAAGCAAAAAGAAAAAAGCCGGAAGTGGCGCTGTGGCTCAAGAGGTAGAGCGCTAGCTTGAGCTGAAGAGCTGAGGGACAGCGCCCAGGCCCAGAGTTCAGGCCCCACAACCGGACCCAAAAAAAAAAAAAAGAAAGAAATTGTTATATACCTCAGAATTCTAAAAGTAATTGGTATGATATAGTATGTATATAATCATATATAATTATGAGTAGAAATTATATCAAATGCCCTACGAAGGCTTATCTGCAAACCTGAACTCAGGCCAAAGCATAACAAGAGCACTTGCCTCTCCTGTCCAGCTGTATCCCAGAGCTGCAAGACTGTCTGCTCTCCATCAACGATGAGAGTTTTCATCTGGAAATCCACTCCTGAAAGAGAGTATGAGATGGAGAACATGATATAAATAATTCTATTAGTTTGTGACTTTCAAGCCCTCTTTAGACCAGCGGAAAAGCAGTAAGCCAAAACTCAATGAGGTAGAAGGGAATACGACCTTCAAGGAGAACAACCTTTGAAGAATAAATGCATACAGATGCACTGCCTGCAGGCTGGCTGGTTTTAGAAGACAGAACACCTACTTTCTGAATTCAGTCATCTGTGTGTATATATGCTATCTAATTGCACATGCAAGAAATGCATGTGCATATGTATGTGCATGCATGGGCGTATGAGTGTTATAAGTGCAATGTGTGTGCAGGTATAGCCATATGTGTATATTAAGTGTACATATGTGTATGCACATGGGTGTGTTATAATCATGGATGCAAGAATATGTGTTTGTATAAACAAGTACATGCATATGTATATGATACAATATATATTTGTGTGTATATGTAAGTTATGTCCTATAAATGTTATGGTCTCTAGAAACAAACCTAAATACTGAAGGCTTTTTATAAATCAAAAAGTAAACTTTCAAGCTGGGCATTGTTGGCTCATGCCTGTAATCCTAGCTACACACGAGGCTGAAATTTGAAGATTGAGGTTCAAAGCCAGCCCTGGTAGGAAAGGCTTCTTACCTCCAATTAACCACCAAAAGCAAAAGCTACAAATGAAACTGTGGCTCAAGAGGTAGAGTGCCAGAAATGAGCACAAAAGCTTGAGGACAGCCCCTATGCCCTGCATTCAAGCCCCTAGGGCCAGCATACACATACATGCACTCACGATGCACGCGTGCACACACACACACACACACACACAGCATATGTCCTACTTTGTGATTTTGAAAGGTCTATCAGAGAATCATAGATTTACAAAGAAGCCCATTGTTAAGAGGGCAATCAATCCGTTCTAACAGTTCTAGCTATCAAACATCTCTTTACGCAATCAATTTGTTCTAACAGTTCTAGCTATCAAACATCTCATTAGATAAAGAAAAAATTAAGAATTTGCACACGATCAACTCTTACTAATGATTATAAAAGTATCTTGGGAAGCTCAAAATACTACTGATTCCTTTGTTGCGGGATGGGGAGGGGACTTCTACCTGGCTATAATTTTGACAAACTTTCTATTGGTTCACTTCATCAAATGAAACCTATAGGAAAGGCTTTCTGCCTTCCTTGTGCAAATCTGCACTCTGTTGCAAACCCCATTTTTTAAAATGAGTTAAAAGTGAGTTATTGAACAAGTGCTGAAAATGAATGCATCTGAAAAGCGAAAGAACAATATCATATTTCTGAAGATGGATGACAGTTGAGAGGCAGGCACTGGCAAAAGTTAGGGTGAGTAGTTTAATGTTGAGAACTATTGAGACACAGAAAAATGTTTGGAAATACAAAATTCATTCACAGATTTTAAAACTTGCTTTTTCCCCATTTCTTTCCATGGAATGTAAGTTTCTGAAATGCTGGGATTTGGTTGGCTGTCTTCATTGCATACCCTTAGCACTACTATAGCATCTAATTTTTATTAGAATTCAAGAACTATATATTGAATAAAATAATCTGGTATCTCAGGCTCTAAGATTTGGTTGACGGATCAGTTAAGAAGATTCTTGCCAGATTTCCTTAGCTAACATTAGAATTTAGCCAAAACAAAGGCCCATCCACAAACACACGCACACATATACATCTATATCCATGAATGGAGAGAGACAGAGAGACAGACAGAGACAGAGAGACAGAGGTAGAGAGACAGGGTGGTATCTATCCAACCTCTAAAGAAAAGTTATTTAGCCAAAGAAAACAATCTCCCCATTGTCAGCCGAAGTAGGAGCTGTACCCAAGGTGGCACTTGTGTGTCCTCGAAATTCGTTCTTGCAGAGTCTCATGAGGAAGCTTGACTTCCCGACCGCAGCATCCCCAGCCAGCACGATTTTGTAAGCTTTCTGAGAGCTGAGTGGTTTAGAGTTGTCATCCACCATGTCTGTCTATGGGGACAAAAAAACATACTGGGTGAAATGGTGTTTCCAGTTTTCCTCCTACCAAGTAATTGATGCAGAAGATGAGGGCCGCAGAAGCCACCTACTTGAGGTGAAAGGGCCAGGACGGGCTTTCTGGAGGAGCTACCAGTGTTCCCTTCACACACAGCCCCTTGCGGCTTCAAGTCTAAGACAGAGGCCATGTCCTCCGAATCGTATGTTTCCTCATCTCTTATATCAGGAACCTGTTAGAAACAAAGCCTCTCGTTAACGTGGACCTCATAAATCAAAGAAAAGGTACCTTCAGCTGACTCTGCAGTCAGTGAGGTTCTGGAATGGTAAATCTACGAGGCTGTCTCCCTACTTCGGTGGAGGAAAAAGCACATTCTATTGATAAGGCTTTGTATTTATGGACTTAGCACACTCTCATTTCAGACACATGACCAGTATGGTGAAAGATTTCAGTCAAAGCAAGGCCTTCAATGACCGTGGAGTCTGGGCTTACATCTGTGTCCGAAGCGTCACCCCTGAAGCTCTCCTGCAGCCCATGGGAACTCTGAAACCCCCTCTGGTGCTTGTATTCTGCTTCGGAGTCGTACTCATTGGAATCTCGTAGGGTAGACAAGCCACTGTCGAAGCAGCTCTCCGGCAGGCTGTCTACTTCGTAATTCATCCTCTGCATGGGATCGCAGAGTGCCAAGGAGTCACAGTCCTCATCCGCATAGGAAGAGCGGGACGACCTGGTGAGGAAGCGGGAGACCGGCTTGACCTGAGGCTCCATGCTGCAACATTCAAGGACACACGGGCGACAGACTGACTGAGGCGGATGTGGCCAGAAAATTCCACATCCTCACCTGCACAGCCACAGTGCCTTTCATGATTAAGACTCAAGGGAATTCAACCAAGTTCAAAGCAGCAAAACTTCATTCTGTGCAATAAGTAGTTATGACAAAAACTCACATGAACCTAGATACCAGTGGCTCATGTCTAATCCTAGCTTCTCAGGAGGCTGAGGTCTGAGATATGGCTTGAAGCCAGCGGGGCAGGAAAGCCCATGAGATTCTTATCTCCAATTAACAATCAAAAAGCTATTAAGTAGAGCTGTGGCTCCAACGGTAGAAAACCCACCTTGAGTAAAAAAGCTAACACAGTGTCCAGGCCCTGAGTTCAAGCCCTAGCACTAGCATACCATACGTGTGCGTGCACACATGCACACCTAAAACACTTTTTAAAAAATGGCTATTTTTTAAATTATCTTATTGTCCAACATAAAAGAATTAGAGTAAATGGGGCTGGGAAGGTGGCTCAGTGGTAGAGCACTTGCCTTGCACGCATGAGGCCCTGGGTTCGATTCCTCAGCACCATATAAGCAAAAAGAAAAAAGCCGGAAAGTGGCACTGTGGCTCAAGTGGTAGAGCGCTAGCCTTGAGCTAAAGAGCTGAGGGACAGCACCCAGGCCCAGAGTTCAGGCCCCACAACCGGACCCAAAAAAAAAAAAAAGAATTAGAGTAAATGAAGATATAAATGCAAGATGTAAATGCAATTTCTCAAAACTATGTCAATAAAAATGAACGCAAAGCATGAAAGGTTTTCTATTTTAATAGGGTCAGACCATATTCTAAATTGCATGTGTGTGTCTAAAGAGAATGTCTTCTTCAAAGAAAGGCTGACAACCCAAATGGAAAAGACAGCCACAGTGATGAGAGGAATTCTCTGGCGTACACATTTATGTCTTTTTGTACCGGTTTGGATTGGTACTCAGGTTGGTATTTATACTAAGGTTTGAACTCAGGGTCTTGCCCTTGCAAGGCAGGTGCTCTACTGCTTAAGCAACACCCCCAGTTCTTTTGTGCGGTTAAGTCCTCCAATTCTCACAGGCCTCAACCCTCATACTCATGACCCTGTATAACTACTATGCCATTGCACCTTGATTATGGTTTGAAATGGGATCACCCTATTTTTTTGCCACAACTATTCTCCTACCTCAGTCTTCCCCATCTTTGCCTATCCCAAGTAGCTGGGATAATAGGTGTGAGCCACTACATCCAGCCCTCCACATGAAATCTTAGTGACCTTTCTCTTCAAACCTTAAAGAACTGACAAGTGAATAAAGAATATACGTTTCAGATTATGCAAGATAAAGGAAAGGGCAGGTGGTAAACTTTCCTGGGAGTCAGATATCTGATCAACAGAGTGAAAACAACAGTCAGTAAGAAACACATGTTCTGGGGACAGCCTGAGGTAAGATATTTTTGACACGTAGTTTGGATATACCCCTACTTCCAGAAGGTACTTTATAGGGGGGTGACTTATACTAAATACCACTACTGGCTTCTATGAGTCCTTCCATTTTGAAACATTAAGACTTTACAAAGGGAAAGAAAAACATAACAATAAATAGGAGAATCCAAAGAAAGGACATATTTCCATATTAACTTTTGAGTTTCTAGATTCTTAAGACTCTAAGTTTCTATTGAAATAAAAACAAGATCATTACACTCATTCTGCATCTACATTGTCCCTGGCTCTTTGTGCACATGACATTTCAGAGTGTGGGTCCTTCCACAGGACTTTACAGATGACAGATGGATACCAAGGAGAAAGCTAAGTACCTGCCACATAAATATGGGAAGACAAAGATAACTTTGACTCATCAATAAATGAAACGATTAACTAAATGGTGATTTAACTAAGTTCTCTCCCTTTCTCCCTCTCCTTCTCTCTCTCTGTCAGTTGTTAACCTATAAAGTTATGACATATACATTAGTAAATGTAATTAGCTAGGTGGTTTGTGTTGTTGCATGACTTGTTCCAGTTTTCTAAATCAAGTTTAGGGCAATCTATAAGAAATGAGAAAAATGTTCTCATTATATTATAGTACAAAGGACTTCAGTTACACAACTTTAATAGTGCCCAGAACTATTTGAACCTTTTTTTTCTTCTAAATCTATTAGTGGTTTTGAAAAAAGTAGATTCTGAATTGAGAGATTAACTCCATGAATATCTAGACTCTAAAAATATCAAGGAGACATTGATCCAGATGCATTGTTCTCATAAAGTGACATGTTAAATTAAAACCGTGTTGTACTACTACTTGAATATTAAAAAAACAAAAACAAAAGAAAAGCAAAAAGGGCCCATTTAATACATGTACATTTTTTTAGCCAGTCATGGGCCTTGAACTCAGGGCCTGGGCTCTGTCCCTGAGCTCTATTTTGCTCAAGGCTAGTGCTCTACCACATTGAACCACAGAGCCATTTCTGGTTTTCAGGCGGTTAATTAGAGGTAAGTATCTCATGGGGATTTTCCTGCCTAGGCTGGCTTCAAATTGTGATACTCAGATCTCAAGCTCCGAGAAGTTAGGATTACAAGCACGAGCCAACCAGCACCCAGTTTACATATACTTCTAAAGTTAAACTGCTTCCAGCTTCCCTGATACTGTTATTACAATTAACTGTGAAAATTACAAAACAAGTTGTATTTTTGATTAGGGTTCGTACAAGAAAATACAAAACTGACAACCCAAATGGAAAAGGCAAGCTAAAATTTGCAGGTTAAAATTAAATAAAACTATACAAAAAATGAAATGAAATGAACAACATACCCTATTAAGTTTTTATAATAGCAACCCAAACAAAATACGCCATTAAATTTGTCCGTCAACTTAATCATTCTCCTGGATGTGGCATTAGCAGAGACGTGGTGGCCTTGGTTCCAGTCTGGAATGACGGATGTCTGAGAGCTGTGCTCCGTCACCTGAGGCACGGTGAAGCGGAGCACCGTCCCTTACAACACACGGGAAGGAGCTCTGAGCCCAGTGTCTGTGAGCCTCACTCGTGGGGCCTACACTTTCAGTAACAAGTCATGATGAAATTTCTGAAATAATTTTGTTTAGAATGGATCTTAAATATTAGTCCAGAAAACTAACAGCACACCTACACCTTTTTAAAAGTTATTATTCCTCAGTAGCACAGTGGTCCCAATTCTTTTCTTTAACAAGTCAGTGAACAATAATCTAGATAGTATTTTCCCAGAAATGCTCACTAATAAGCTTTGGTGACAGATTATTCTGAAAGGCAATATAACCATCTTCTATCACAGGGATATTAAGCGCATTATTCTTTGAGCTGAAATTATCCAAGTTACTAGCCATACTTCAGTTTGTTTTTCTAGTTTCATTTTCATTCCCAGGTACACATAATACTATGCTTACCCACTGAACAGTGATAGATTATGAAAATTCTATCAGCATCACATACCACATACACTATATCATCACATATTGTAGTTCCAAAACATCTCTTATACAGGGCTGGGGTAATGGCACACTTGTGTAAGACTAACCAGAGCATCTTAAAGAAATAACTTTGCATTTAATGAAACATTTTGACCACAGTTACCATCTGGTCACAGCATCAAACTTTAGTGTAGATCATAGAAATGTAAGCCAGAGTCTGAAACAGACTCCTTTGTTTAAATCCAGCTCCAAGGAAATTTCTTATCCTTTTAACTTTGTTCTAAAACTCAAATAATAAAAGAAGAAAAAAAAAGCATACCTGTCATAACCCACAGGTTGAGGAGAATGGCCACTAAATTTGGGACTGCTTCTAGAAATTGTATTCCCTGGAGATATATTATTTAGGCGCTGTAATACATAAGCAAATGTTGAGTAGTCTGTATAAACATTTATACATGCACACATAGGTAAAAATGTGCATATACACAAGTTAGCTTCTAATTTAACGTCTAGGATTCTAGATGAACCAAGGATGAGCCTGAAACTCAAGTGGAAAATTCCATCAAAGATAACTTACCACAGTTCCCTCTCTTTCCAGTCAGATCTAGAGTTCAAACTCTACTTACATCCCACCAAGAAGCATCCTGACTCCCAAGAGATGCTAGGACCATGTAGCACTAATTGCCTTGAACTCTTCTGGCTCTTACATACCCTAACATTACGCTGCAATTTGACAGTTGAAGCTGAACCCCCAAACTGGGCTAAGAGAGAGGCTTCATGGCAAGTTCATTCTAGGGAAGGTCCTAAAACTTCAAATGGGTTCCAGGATCCAGTGGCTCACGCTTGTAATTCTAGATGCTCAGGAAGGTGAGGTCTAGAGGAGCACAGTTTAAAGCCAACCCAGGCAGAGAAGCCTATGAAACTCCATTTCCAAAATAAGCAAAAAATAGCAATGCTGGAGTTGTGGTTCAAATAGCAGAGCTTCAGCCAAGCAAAAACAGCAGGCAAGCATGAGTCCCTAAGTTCACATCTCAGTCCTACAGGGAGAAATTCCAAAGGGGTTTCATGGGTTTGTGTATGAGGGTTTAAAGCCTAAGCCTTCGTTCTGACAAGCTCAATGCTGTAACGAACACTCCAGAACTCGCAGCTAGATGCAGCTCTCCCTCCTGACTGACAAGATTTTCTCTGCTGGTTCTTATTTCTGTGCCTCTGTATAGATCCAAATACCCCGTTACATTAGCTAACAGAAGATTTTTTGTAATCTCTCCAATTACCTAGAACATCTAATGTAAGCGTTGGTTAAAATCAAGGTGCTTCAAATGAGTAATATTTTTAATTTGGAGAGTTTTTTCTTCCTCTGGTTTTTGTTTTTGTTGGTTTTTGCTTTTTGGTGCCAGTTCTGGGCTTGGCATGTGGGCCTCATGTCCTTGCTCAGCCTTTTCATATAAAGCTGGTGGTCTATCACATGAGCTATTCTTCAAATCTGGCTTCTGTTAGTTGGAGAGAATTAAGAGGACTCATGGAGTTTGTTTGTTTGGTTTTTTTTATTTTTTTGCCTAGGCTGGCTTCAACTAATAATCCTCAGATCTCAGCCTCCAGAGTAGCTAAGATTACAGCCGTGAGCCACACATGTCTGGCTTGGAAAGAGTTCTCATGATTATAAAGATCCACATGAAGTACTCCAATGTACATGATTAGACAGAAGGAAGGGTATTACAGGCGGACGGCCCGTACCACGGCTCTGCTGGCCTTGCTGTAAGTGCTCTCCAGGGCGCTCCTGAGGCCATCGTTGCTGTCACGCAGCTTACGGTTAGCTGTTCTGCACAGTGAAAAGACAGGAAAAATACTCAGTGTTACAGGAAAAATACTCAGTGTTACTGGGGACCAATGTCATCCCAGTGGCGCTGACACATACAATGTAGAATCACGTATCTTTGCAATGTCTGATTTCCCTTCCAACCTCAAAACCTGAGATCCTAACACATTATTTGAAATACAGCTGAATTGGTTTGCTATCTCTCTTTAAAGATTTGAGCGGCTTAGGGGTGAGTCTGCAAAGCAAGAAGGAGAGCAGAGCTCCCGCCTCACCCTTGCATGCTTCCAGTCACTTCATCCTTCAGATCTGAGCTCAAGTGTCCCTTCCTCCAAGAACATTTCCTGGGCCTTTTCAACAAACCTTTGACAAACCTGTCTCATTTGGCATGTTTTTTTTTTTAATTTTTTTGTCTGTTGTGGGGCTTGGGTGCTGTCCCTGAGCCTCTTTGTGCTCAAGGTTAATGCTCTACCACTTGAGCCACAGCTCCACTTCTGGTTTTTAAGTGGTTTATTGGAGATAAGGATCTTTATGGGGACTTTTCTGCCCCAGATGGCTTCAAACACGATCCTCAGATCTCAGCTTCCTGAGTAGCTAGGTTACCAGGTGTGAGCCACCAGCATCCAGCTTGGCATTTTGCACTTATTTCTCTAACTACTAATCAGCTTCCATCTTCCTCCTCCAGAATAACTCCAGAAGAACAGAGGTTTTTTTTCCTCCCACTCACTATTCTAACTCTAACTGTGGGTGTATCAGTCCCATTAAAAAGTACTAATTGAGCTGGGCACTGGTGGCTTACACCCTAATTCTAGCTACTCAGGAGGCTGAGATCTAAGGACCATGTTCAAAGCCAGCCCTGGCCAAAAAAAAAAGTCTGTGAGATTCTTATCTCCAGTTAACCAGGAAAACCCCAGAAGTGGGTCTGTGGCTCAAGTGGTAAAACACTAGCCTTGAGTACAAAGGCTAAGAGAAACCACCCAAGCCCTGAATAAGCCCTAGTACCGCACATTAGCACGCGTGCTTACATGCATGCACATACACACATACACACACACAGAGGACATTAAAAATCTAAGAATTCTAGTTATCTCTGCACAAGCTCTAAGCAGTCAGGGCTTTCATCGTGTAAAGACACCCTGGGCATCCCATCCGATTTGAAAGGGCTTTTGAGACCCCTTCTCTGTTGTGAGCACTGCCCTAATTAGCTTAGGGTGAGCCACCCGGGAAGCTAAGTGTGTGTGCAGAAGGCACCACAGTGTGGGAGCTACCACAGTGACCTGCAAACCTGGACTGTGGAATATGTCCACTCGGGTTACAGGTAGCATGTGTTTTATTACAAAACAAAAAGGTGAAACAAAGGAGAATTTTATATGAGAACTTACTGGAGTATTTCAATTTGTCTCTCAAGACTATTTCGATCTTCTGTGTATTCTCGGATTATTTCCAGATCCCTGTAAAATTGTATTTCATGTTTAAGTGAGAATTGTCAAGTTCTGCCTTACCGATCCTCACCCTTTGAAGCCCCTTTGAGGTGTGTATCTTTAAGGTTTTCTCCCCTGCTAGTGCTCCAACTCAGTTCCCTGATGTCAGCGCCGACCCCCCACCCCGAGCCCGACTCCACTCACATCTCCATACCTTGTGCTTCCTTGGGAGAAGCTCGGCCCACCTCTCACCACCCCCCCACTTACCACGGCTCAGCACCCATCAGCTCTTCCCACCCCACCAGGGCCTGGCTCCAATCCCCTGAATCCCCACCATTCCCGAGTCCCTTCTCCCAGACAGTCAAGTCAGTAGCACCTTCACCCCCTTGAGCCTTCTCTGCTCCCACCAAGCTTTAGAAAGCTCAGCTCCCCCTATTTCCTCTTCTTTTGAGACTCCTTCCATTCCTTGCTCCATCTCTACTTCTGACATCTTTCTTCTTCTTAGGTTAAGCCACAGAACCAACAGGCTTTCTGGGCTCCTGAGACACTCCCACACCTGACAGAGACCCCAGGTCCCCCTCAGACTGAGCGCTCAGAGCACGTGCTCACCTCATTGTTTATTACAGAGACCCCAGGTCCCCTCAGACTGAGCGCTCAGAGCACGTGCTCACCTCATTGTTTATTACAGAGACCCCAGGTCCCCCTCAGACTGAGCACTCAGAGCACGTGCTCACCTCATTGTTTATTACAGAGACCCCAGGTCCCCCTCAGACTGAGCGCTCAGAGCACGTCCTCACCTGGGGGTGAGGCAGGAACACAAAGAGCTCTGTTGCTGTGTCGGTAAACAAACCTATTGGCTGACATTCAAGAACTCTTACGCTATCAAGTTTGTCCACAACAACCTGTCCATTGGGTGTACCCTGGATGATAAAAGTTAAAAGTTTCCTAATTGCTGGGCACCAGTGGTTCATGCCTGTAAACCCAGCTACTCAGGAGGCTGAGACCTGAGGATCACAGTTTGAAGCCAACCTGGAAAGAAAAGTCTGAGACTCTTACCTCCAATAAACTACTCAGAAAAGGCTGGAAGTGGAGCTATGGCTCAAACGGTAGAGTGCTAGCCTGAGCAAAAGAAGTTCAGAGACAGCACCCAGGACCAGAACAAACAAACAAAAAAAGGTTTCCTAATAGTCTAATTCCTAATTGTCAAAATATCTAGTCCCTTAAACTAGCTTTTAAAACTTTTATGATCTTCTTTAACTCTTTTTGTTTTTTTTCCTATTCAAAACATCTGCTGGGCACCCGTGGCTCAAGCCTATAATCCTAGCTACTCAGGAGGCTGAGATCTGAGGATCATGGTTCAAAGCCAGCTGGGGCAGGAAAGTCCATGAGACTCTGATCTCCAATAAACCACCAGAAACAGGAAGTGGTGCTGTGGTCCAAGTGGTAGAGTGCTAGCCTTGAGCTGAAGAGCTGAGGGAGAGCGCCCAGGCCCAGAGTTCAAGCCCCACGATCAACCAAAAAAAAAAAAGAAAATCTCCTATGGTCCAGTGGTCTGACCCATCTTTCTTCAGACCAGTCTCATCCTTCCCTCCGCTCCTGCCTGTCCTTTCGCTATCACTCACCCAGGACATCACTGAGGCTCTTTTCCAGTTGTACATGGATGATGAAGGCCCCTAGCTGAGAGGGTTCTGTGGACTGAAGGAGTTAGGGCAGCACCCAGGAGTCTGCCTGTCAGACAACAGTCCTGCCGTTTTCAGGTGCTGCTGCTGCTGGCAGTGTCTCTGACATGAGTCAGCTCTTACGCTGTTTAACTTGTTATCTTTTCACTTCTGTGTTCCTGACTAAATCTGGAGCTCCCATCCTTCCCTTCTGTTTTACATACTCCAAACTCATAACCCTTATCTAGTTCAGAGATCTCTATACAGTACATTTAATACACGTCTCACAACTTATTATAAGAATGTAATTCTGATTAAAATTTACAAAGAACATTTTCTCCAACTGCACTAGTACAAGGACTGTATTTATTAAACCTATATAAGTACCCATGCATATATCATATCTGCTAACGTAAAAATGCATGTTTGTTTATTAAACTCCTTATTGTTACTAATATATAGCAAAACTCACAAGAGTCCCATCATATTTTAGGCAAGGACTGCTACCTAGGCATTTGTTCTTGACCTATTCCAGCTAGTTCCAACTTAATCCAACTTTCAAAGCTTTCCATTGTCTTAAGTAGGATAATAATTAAAACATTTAATTTGCCTTTTAACAATACCACAGAGACCCACAAACTAGGAAATCTGTCATTGGTACAATCCTCGCCAGTAAGGAACATATTAGTAACAGTACCTAGTAACCCTTTCTTACTCCCTCACCAACCTTCATTTGTAGCTAATTCCTAAATACTGCACCAAAACTAAAATAATAAAACATAAATCTCATACCTTTCAGAATTCAGACTCTGGTCGGCATAATCACTTTTCAAAGCATCTAGTTCACTCTGAAGAAAAGCTATGTTTGTCTGTGCTTCCAAAAGTTCTTTCTTAACTTTCTGATTTTCCTAGAGGATAGGAACACCACAGGCATTAAATTCAGTTTCTTACTCATGGTAAAAAATGTAGCAAGGTGTACTCGGCCCACCCACAGGGCACTCCATGCTTCTCCAGTTCTACAATCTTGACATTTAAAGAACTAATTGTCTATTCAATAATAATTGTTAACATATCAAAATCTAAATCCTCAAAGCTGTTCTTTGTTTTAAATATTGGATATCTGTTACCCTACTACAATATCATGTATTTTAAGATATTACTGGCAAATTAGCTGAAACCAAATGTTTGAACACCTGACTTACTTAATGAAGACCACAAAGGGACTGATAAATATTGTATAAAATTAACTGTATCGGTAATGACTACAATGACGAGTTTCATATCTCCTAACTTTAATGTCATTAGGAAATGTCTATATTTTTTCTTCAAAAACAACTGGAAGCTTCTAGTTCACTAAGTTGTAGTTCTTCCCTTCTGAAATCTCCTTAATCTGAAACACGCCAACAAGGATGGAAGGGATGGAGAGGCGCCCCTAGCTGTCAAGTACTAAACCTGCTTCTGAACGATGGAAACCCAGGGAAAGGCAGCTGTTCTGGTTTACACATGACTTCAGTGCGTTTCACGCCGGCTCGGGCACCGGACACCCTGACCCCAGCGAGGAGCTGTAGAGGTGACCTGGAACTTTTAAGAGGTGGAGCCCAGTGAGAGCGCCTTAGGTTGACTGGGCACTGAAAATACTTAAGTGCCATAATGGAGAAAACATTCTCCAATTTTAGAGTCAACCTGAAATCAACCTAAAGAAAATTTAGTAATGAAAAAGGCAGAAAATACATCATCTATTTCTACAGCAAATAACTAAATGAAGATATGGTAAGCAAAACAGAAGTGGTAAACAGGGGAGAGGGGGAATGGAAGTGGAACAGGGCAATGATGCCATTATGTTCCAAAGCAGGGGACAGACCAGCGTAGGTGTTATACAAATAGCGTAGCAAGTCTTTATTGCCTTAAAAGGAAATCACGCCATTCATCTTGTGGAGGGGAAAAGCTTCACATATAATATCTGTGCTTACAAATATTTTGAGGAATTTCTCTAATGCAGAATCATTTTTTCTTTAAGCTCTATTCCTGGAACACTGAAATAAAGCATAGCTGTGTATATGTTGTCTAGATGGAAATTTATTCCTTTAAGTCAGAAGGTGATTCTTACCATTGATAAATCATAAATTTGTTTTTTTAATGCTGCCACATCTTCCTTTTGACTTATATGTTTGGATTGCTCTTCAAGCTGAAAAAGTAAACAAGTTATTTACTAACCCATTTTGAAATGTTTTGGACAAGTTCTAGAATGTACTTGAGTGCAGACATGGAAATTCTAGAGGTTAATGATTTTCAACTTTCTAAGACACTAAATAACATAAAATCCACATAAGAATGTATTTGTTTCAATCATTTGCAAATGCGGTGTTACTGGACACGGGAAAAATGGAAAAAAGACTTTGGGAAACTATCCGACTATAAGGCAACCAGCTGGGAGAGCTGAGGGGGTGGTGAAAAGGAGCACTGATAAGACACACTGCACTCATAAACTGACATGGGGGACTAAAAAGCTTCCGTACAACTGCTTAAAGATAATAAAAAATAGAAGCACCCCAGTTTTGCTACATGTGAGATGAACATTCATTCTTACTTCTGTGCACTTAACACTTTTTATCTTTCTTATTTTGGAAAGTCTTACTCCCTTACTACAGTGTAAGATTTTCTTAAGAGCAGAGTAGAATAAGACTCAACTATATTTGTTCATGGTGAGTTCACTTATGAAATGATTGCAATCAACAACATATAAGCATCACAGAAGCAAGAAATACACACACACACACACACACGCACGCACGCACGCACGCACGCACATACACAAGAGCCTATATGATCTCTGCTTGCACGTTGACTCAATAGCATTAATGGACAAAACTAGTTCAGCAGCATCTATAGTATAAAGAACAAAAACAAACGACAACCCTACCAAAAGCTCACATTCCAGAACTGTGGAGATGGGTGGGCGTCAATCTGTCCAGTGTTAGTACATTAATAAAAATGAACCCCACATATCATCAAGTCTGATAGCTATGGCATTTCTTCATCTTTCTAGATGGTACTGTGGCTGAGAAAACTAATTTATTTTAAGATTCATTCTGACTTCAGAGAAGAAAAATTATAGGCAAAATGAGTTTCCTAGAATCAAAGTGAGGTTAGTAGCTATCAGAATGGATCTGTAAACTGTCCTACAATTTTATTCAATCTTCAATATCCTGTCATGTGATTGTTTTGCTGTTTCACATAAGCACATCAGGCAGGCAGGAAGTTTGGTATAAATGGAAAGGCACTAACAGCAAATGAAGACACCTCTATCACTTACCAGGAGGTAGGAGGCTTTGAATAAGTAATCTACTCCCCCTGGATCACCCTCAGAAAAAAGTTTAGTATTCAACTGTTTTTAGTGATGAAAAGGAAGGCAGACACCGTGGCTTGTTCCTCTAACTCCAGATACACGAGAGATGGATCAAAGCCCATAAAATGCTAGGTATGGTGATACATGTCTGTGATAGCTACAGAGGGTCATGGTCTGAGGAGGGCCTTGGGAAAAAATGAAAAGACCCTATTTGAAAAACGAATTTAAAAAGGCGGGCGGGGGAGGGGAGTGGGAGGGGAGCAGGGGCTCAACTGGTAGAGCTCTTACCTACCAAGAATAAGGTCCTGAGTTCAAATTCCAGTACCACCAAAAAATAAAGATACTTATCTTCAAAGCCAATAAAATATCAGTTATTAAGATTAGGAAGGCCAGGACCTGGTAATCCTAGCTATTCAGGAGGATGAGATCTGAGGATCACGGTTCAAAGCCAGCCCAGACAGAAAAGACTGTGAGACTCTTATCTTCAGTTAACCACCAGAAAACCAGAAAGGGAGCCATGGCTCAAAGAGGTAGAGCATTAGCTTTGAGCAAAAAAAACAAGATTAGACAGGACAGGGGTCCTGTCTAATCCCATTTCACAGGGGTCAACAAGATGAAGGGAATTGTCCCGATAACAGGGAGCAAACAGTTGTCAGTGAGAACTCAGGCCCTGTCATGTGACTCAAACATGCTCGGTCTCACTGTTTGAGGTTTTCACATGCTATGAACAAGCATACTTTGTTGCATACATTCTCTTATCGACCTGAAATGCCATAGAAATTAATGAAGAATTTATGATCTGGCATAATGAGAAGACTGCCCATTCATTTTGTAACACAACTATAGTAAGATGGCCTAATGACATTTGAAAAATAGACATAAGGCAACAGAGGAGAATTCTTCATTATCTGAGGTTTAGGCAGATTACAAACTACAGTTAATTGTCACTATTATGTTATTCTCTGTTTCACATGAACTATATGCATTAGTTATGAAAACTTTAGTTACGAAAGTGATGGCAACTTGCCCACTTGAACTCAGTAATGGTGGGAGTCTTTACACCATGAAAACCAGCAAAGGCGACACATCTCGCCCTTGCCCTCAGCTCCTCTTCAGAGACACTGGTCAAATCTGCCAGCAGATCACGGTGTGGAACGGGCCCTGCTTGTTAGAACCAAGTCCAGAAAAAGGAAAAGCCCAATCATATGTGGTTCATGTTCCAACCAAGTTTTTTACCTCTTGATGATCAGGTTGGAACTTTGTCCTCAGAAGATCAACATTCAATTCACTTAACAGCCGTTCATGGAACGCCAGTCCCACACCTTGCACCAAGCTAGAGGTAGGGACACAGGGTTCACTGGCAAGGAGGGTAATACTTCACCCTCATGGAACAAGTGTCCACTAAACAAAGGGGACCTTAGGGCACCTAGTGCGCGAGACTAAGGAAAGCAAAGTGGGATCTAAAGAGATGGTTCGAACCATAAGCAATCATTACCACAACTGTAAGAAGTGACAGCAACTAATAAAGGAACTCAGAGGCTCTTCAAAGACAAAGTTTTAGCCAGGCACCAGTGGCTCATGCCTGTAATCCTAGCTATTCAGCCTCCTGGCTGAGATCTGAGGATTGCAGTTCAAAGACAGCCTGAGCAGGAAAATCTATGAGATACTTCTCTCCCATTAAACAGCCAACAAAAATCTAGAAGTAGAGTTGTGGCTCAAGTGGTAAAGTCCCAGGCTTTAGTGAAAAAGTCAAGTGAGAGTATGAGGCCCTGAGTTCAAGTCCCAATACTGGAGTGTACACACACACACACACACACACACACACACACACACACACACACAGTTGCAAAAGAGTCCATTTGACTCTACAATGCCATCACTTCCGCTCTAATATTATTTCAGATGGTTTTGGTCATCCATAGCTTAGGCACACAAGTCGCTGAGGTTTATCCTAGAAGTCTGGTCAGCACCCCATACCTTCTTCAGTTTTTTAATGGTCACTTGCAAGTCTCCTACTTCTGTTTCGTACTGACGTCTGAGGTCACTGAGGGCTTCCTCAGCTTTGCGTTTTTCCTAAAAGAAGAAAATGCTGATTTAAATAGGTTCAGCCTATTTAAAATAAACAGCCTTAAATATCCTTTAAAATCCCATAGGGAGAAACTTTTTTTAATATCAAACTGCACTGACCACGATTCTCCTACCCAGGGAATGGGAGCAGGAGCGGCAAAGGGGGCAACAGACAGTTTTAGGTGAGCATCAGGTCTGGAACTGAAACCTGTAAACATGGAGGAACTGCAGAATCCCACTAGACACTTATCTCCTTGGAGTGAAATGAAGACTATTATAGTCTAAGATGGGGCTACCACATGCCAATTAATTAGTGACTTAATTATGTCATAATTAATGAAAAGGTATGTCACAGTTATAAGCTCCAGTCAAGAGTAGTGGGTGTACCTGTTTTCCTATTGCCAAATTCTGCCAGAGTCTGGCAGAGTTATAAGTCGCCTGAAACCAGGCTTGAGCAATGTGTCGCTGGGCGATTCAGTCCTTATGCCAACACTGCAGTGTTCTTATTCTAAGATGGCCACACATCACAGCGACAATGGGAGTGCTGCAGGACACATGGCCCGCTGTTGGCCATGACACCACTGTGAGGCACCTGACACGAGTGTTTCCCACACTCAGTGTGTCCCTTCAATGGCAACAAGACCAGGAGGCTGCAGAGGCTGACATTCATGGACTAAACCATTTCTAAACTTCTTTTTTCTCTTAACAAGAGATATTATGTTGTTTTATGGCCTTTGTTCACTATTGACATAGCTTTATATTTGTAACTAATAAAAGTCAGTGTGCTAATATTCACTAATAACCTACCACATGCTAAGGATAGCTCCAGGCGACAGGACATGCAGATTGAGGCACAATGCACAAGATGACCTTGTGCATTCTAACGGAAGGCAGAATCAACACGCAGAGACAGAGGGACAGGCAGACAGATAATTTCAGAAAATTACACTAAAGAGAAAGAAACACAGAGAAGTGTAAAACAAACTAGTCTGAGTTGTGGGCAAGGACCCTGCAGAGGTCATGATCCCACATCCGAATACCCCAGGCATTCAAGTGTCTTTACCCACTTATTGGCTGTCAAGTTAAGGCAACTTGCTAAATTTATATCTCCATTTTCTTATCAGATTATTGTGAGAATTAAGTAATCCAAGTAAATTAAATCACTCAAATCTATATAAATTAAATAACCCATACAAATTAAATAACCCATACAAATTAAGTAATTTGAGGACACTAAATATCCCATAAAAATTAAATGATCCATGTAAATTAAACGATCCATGTGATGTGCCTTCACAGAAGAGCAATGATAACTTTTTAAAAAGCAGCAATCATAAATTCCTCCAGCCTTCTCACTGAGGCAGAAACCCTGCCTATTTCACAGGTGGGTGAAGACACGAGGCCTTCCAATTAGCTGTGAATTCAGGCAGGCCACCTGGCTCAAATCAACCTGCAAGTACTGAAAGTGTCTCCACTGGGCCCACAGCCACAAGCTCTAACACAACAACATATGGTTTTAAATTATCCTACTCAGAGCTCACTAAGGAAAGTTCATTTCATTCCTAATCGGCATCGGGTAGACCCTGCAGGTCATACAGGAGATTAGCACAGGAGTGCAGGTAAGAAAGGGCGGCAGTTCCTTTCAATCCGCTCTTTACATGCTTCCAGAAAACCGAAATGCATGGTACAGTTCACAGTTCATCCTGTGAGACCAACACAGCTGACACCAAAATCACATGAAAGCATTAGAAGACAACTGCAACCTAGGAGGGGAAGGTTGAAGAAAACAAAAGAGGAGGTAACACCATGCAAAAAGAAATGTCCTGACTACCTTGCTACATAACTATAATCTCTCTGTACATCATCTTTACAATAAAATTTAATTTAATAAAAGAAAACTACCACCTAACATTTCCTATTAATGTTGGTGAGAATATGATCGATAACATTTAGCAAATGAAATTAAAAAGATAAAATAATAATGTATCATAAACAATTGAAACATTTGAGGCTGATCAGTGGAATTCCCCACATTAATTCTAAAACAAATGTATGATCATTTCAATAGACACATAAAAACACAACAAAATCCAACATCTACTTCTGATTAAAAAACGCCAAACCTGGCACCAGTAGCTCACGCCTATAATCATGCTATTCAGGAGCCTGAGATCTAAGGATTGCCATTCAAAACCAGCCCAGGCAGGAAAATCTGTGAGACTCTTACCTCCAATTAAACACCAGAAAACAGGAAGTGGTGCTATGGCTCAAAGTGGTAAAGTGCTAGCCTTGAGTGGAAAAAGCTCAGGGATAGCACCCAGGCCCTGAGTTCATGCCCCACAACCAACAAAAAACGAAAGCAAGGAAGGAAGGAAGGAAGGAGGGAGGGAGGGAGGGAGGGAGGGAGGGGGGAGGAAGGTAGGAAAGAAGGAAGGAAGGAAACTCTTCAACCTGATTAAAGTCATCTATGAACCACACACCACTAATACTACACTGAAGGTTGAAAGCCTGAATACATACAGGATGGTTTGTTATCACTTCTAGACAGTGCAAAAAGGTAAGAAGTTGCTATCTAGATTAGAAAGGAAGTAAAACTGCCTTTATTCAAAAATTACATCACAACCAACTTAGAAAATCAAAAGCCATCCAGTCTAAGCAGTGTGACAACACTAAAGAAGTCAAGATCAATACACACATGTCCAATGTATTTCTATGCAGTCATTAAAAACAATGAGAATTTGAAACAAGCATTCTAATAGCAGCAAAATGTGACATACTTGGGAATAATCTGATAATACAAAGTAAGACCTGTGCACCGAATACTATAAAATATTGCTGGGAGAAAGCAGAGACATCACGACATCATGAATGGGTAAGTGACTCACTTTTATAGATCAAAATATTCAATATTCTCCCACATTAATCTTCAGATGAGAAATATAAACAAATCCTCAGCAGGCATTTGTTTTTTGAATTATAAGATAATTTTATGACATTAAGGAAACAATCAAACCAACTTTGAATAAAAAGCAAAATGTAAAATGAATACACGACTTCAGGGGCTATTATAAAGCAATAGGCACCAACACAATGAAATACTAACAAATCAATATATACAACAGAATGTAGAATCCAGATAAAACCACCCAAAATCCAGATAGCTTCTTTTGGACAAAAAGAAAAGGCAGTTCAGTGGAAAATGAATAATGTTCCCAGCATATGGTATTAAAACAGAACAACATCACAAGCAGAAGAGAAAGAAAAAGAACAGTCCATACCTTGCACCATACAGAAAATGGAACTTGAGTGTAAAACTTACCAAAGGAAAAAATTAGAGAAAACTTCTGGGACCTTGTCTTAATGAAAGGTTTTAAAATAAAATACCGTAACATGAACCATAAAAAGGAAAGACAAATTATTTGGACTTCATCAACATTAAAATTTGCTACTCTTCAAAAGACTGTTAGGATTAGGAGAAGGAAAAGATTTATTTGGGCAAAATATTATTTAGATTAGGTGCCTGAAACAAGATTTATATTTAGAATATATAAAGATACCTTCAAACTCAGTAATGAAAGAACAACTTAATTTTTTTTTTTGTCAGTCATGGGGCTTGAACTCTGGGCCTGGGCGCTGTCCCTCAGCTCTTCAGCTCAAGGCAAGCGCTCTGCCACTTGAGCTACAGCGCCACTTCCGGTTTTCTAGTGGTTTATTGGAGATAGGAATCTCACGGTCTTTCCTGCCCAGGCTGGCTTTGAACCTCGATTCTCAGATCTCAGCTTCCTGAGTAGCTAGGATTACAGGCGTGAGCCACTGGCGCCCTGCCAACTTAATTTTTTAAATGAGCAGACATAAGTCCAAAGAAGACACACACATATGCAATGTAACTTTACACATCTATCAGGGAGATGGATTATGTCATTATATCATTATTATGTCACTAACAGGGAAATGGATGGACCTGGGGAAAAATATGTTTAGTGAAGTAAGTCAAGCTCAGAGATACATGCTTTATCTTTTATGTGGAAATTAGATTCTAAATCATAAATGTACCTGAAAACATACACAGGGTCATATACACAACATGTTAACTAATGCATGGTACACGAGGGGGAGGATTTTAATGGTGTGCTTCTTTGAACAACTTAACAAAATAACAAAGTAAATATCAGGAAGTGTAAGCATGTGTTCTGGGAGTGAGGACCGGGGAGGGAGGGCTGATGAATAGAGAAGGGGCAGGGTGGGCGAATATAGCTGTAATATAATATTCAATGTGCATACGTGAAAATGAAGCCAGGTCACTTGAAGCGGTTGGCAGGGTTGAGAGAGATGTGAGGAAATGATGGAAATGATCAAGAGGCCCTGAACTCACAAACTGACATGCTGGAGTAAAACCCCCTTGTCCAGCTATATAAGGACAATTTTAAAAATAAATTACATAACAGATAGCAAGTCCTAAAAAATGCACACAAATTTTTTTAAGGATGATATACACATGACATAGAAGAACATGAAAGATTCCCAACACAGTGTGACAGAGTCTCTCAAACGCAATCATATTTCCACAGATGGTGGAGCCATCCCACTCTAGGAATTCAATCAAGAGAAATAAAACGTACATATGCTTACATAAATTCTAGTACATGAAGATTCACTGTACCGTTGGGACATAACTCAGTTGTCCTTCAACACATGAGTGCATGCACCATGGTGGTACATCCACCAGTGAACTATTACTTGGCTATGACATGAATGATTATCAATGCACAAAATAATTATGCCTAATAGAAGAAGCCAGACGAGACATATTGTAAGATTCCATTATTATATAATTCTAGAAGCTTCAAAATAATGGATAGGACCAAAAAAAAAAACCCAGAGCAGTAATTGCCTGGTAAAGAGGGACAAAGGAAGGCAAGCATGAGACAGGAGACAACACCTACGGCAGACGGTACTATCCGTGACCTTGTTGAGAAGATGACATGTATGATACCTCCATAAAGCTGTTGTTAAAAAAATAACTAACTGACAAGACACCATATATTCCATGTGTAATGAGAATGAAACATCATGAATGTTCTGTCCAATTGGGGTCAAGAAGAGTTGACTGTGGCTAGAGATCTAAGGGAGGGCCTGGAGGCGTGAGGGAAAGACGTGGGCAGCCATCACCAAGGTAAAGGAACCAGCTGGAGTAAAAGCAGAGCCGTGAGCAGCGACACTGGACTGTGTGTGGGGCGGGGGAAGGGGGGAGGTAAATGTCCAGAGGAGTTTGAGGGGAGCCACCATGACTTCCAGAAGTCAGGGAGAACCCTCAGTAAGCCGGGATGTGTTATCCCCGAGCACCAAGTTTAAAAGGTGAGGTGGGTACTCGGTGCTAGGTGGCTGGCAAATACATTTCCTCCCAGTGCCAAAGCTGCTCAGCTGGCCGGAGGACCCAGACTGGCGTGCTGACTTTCCCTTTACTTTACTTTTGGGGATCTGTTTGTTTGCTCGTAGCGGGGTCTCACTAGACAGCCCAGGTTGACCTCAAAGTTGAGCTCTCACCACCTCAGCCTCCTAAAAGCTAGGATTACCAGAAGGTACCACCACACCTGCCTTCCTCAATTCTTTTCGCTTCCCCCAGCCACATTCTCCTGTCAGGCTGCGCCAGCTCCTCCGCTCCCCCGGTCACACATCCTCCCGGTGAGGCCCATGGCTCCCACCTGTCACCGTACATCACACGTGTTTCTTGACTGCAACTGTCATTATCTGAAACTCACCAACTTCATGGAGTCAGTGATTACAACATCTAGTTCCCCTTCCTCATTCCCCAGAAATACCACAGGTCAGAACCCTTTGGTGGGAGCCTTATAGAGCCCAGGCCTGGGTTCCCACAGCCTGGCATGGAGAGGAATACCCAGAGCCCTGTCCTAAAAGCCAATCCACAGGACCTGTGCACAGCGTGGACAGTCCAGACACTCACATCCTTCCGGGTCTTGTGCTCTGCTGCTTGAATCCTCTGATCCATTTCCTCTTCCAACTCACTCAGCTGCAGGGCTGCCTGGTCTTGGGCTCTGAAATTCAAAAGAGACCACCTGTTACGGGAATACTTGGACACTTAAAGAGAAACTGAAGCGGATCTACTTCAAATGAGGAACAATACACCATTCCGACTACTATGCCCCATTCCTTCCAAATAATGAAGTAGGACTGGCAATTTGACCATGTGGATGTAAAATGATAATAGAAGTAGATATTAAAAAATAAAATATTAAATGATATTAAACCAGAATAGCTCAAGATACCAAGTCACTGGGAGATTCTCAGTAACTAACCCTGGAAGCCCTTTTGCCTCCATGACAGAGGTACAAACCTCAGGCTTGGGGTGAAGCATTTCATGACCAAAAAAAAGGTTCGGCGTCACTTCAAAATTTTATTCCATACACCTCACAACAGTTAGAAGGAAGACAAGAGATTTCTGCACTCATTTCCAACCCTCATGCAATAATAAATCAGATCTTGAGGAGACAGAATATCTAACTTAACAAAGAAATGGAAAAACTTTGGTGTGAGAGATTTCAGGACTGATATATTTTACTAGTAATTGTGTAGTATAGAGATACTTGTCACTTTTTCCTAGTTGAGGTTTCAAATTAAAACTTTACATGTATGTGTGTGTGTGTATATATATATGCTATATAGTATAACAATACTATGTAATACATTACATAGTACATGTAAAATATAATACATGTACAAATATATATAAATCTTATATATATTCTTTTGTCTCTGAGATACATATCCAATTTGTATATACCTGTCTACTGACTATATTAGAAGTAACTGGAAAGCAGCTATCCTAAGGTATAGAGTCAATTCACTTAAACCATAACAACATACTGTCAATAATAGAAGACCAAAGATGGAGCTTAAATGTAAGACCTCCATCTTCCAGCTTGTTTCCTGCTATACCACTTTATTGCTCCTATACCATTGCTTTTTTTTAATTGACCCTTTTACAACACAAATTGTGTATTAATTTAATGTCTATATGGAACACCAAAGAAATGCTATGAGGTAAACAAAACCTTAAATTTTTTAGTGAAATTACCATTTTCTGTTCCTGTTTCCTTCCAGCTCACCATTTAACCAATCCTCCTAGCCATCCAGTCTCAAACATCTGAGACAGCGCCTGAGTTTTCTCTCTACCTTTTGGGGGGGATCAGAGTAGCCCATAATGATGCAGCATTTGCCTAGCAACATGTCTTTTCTCTTAGCATATGTCCTCCCATCTTCCATAATTTCTAATCCCTAAAGAATGCATACTGCACTCAGACTGCCCACCATCACCCAGGCTACTGGGAATCATTCTAAATGGGCACTTATCCAACAGAAAGACTGAGTCCTCCCTCAGTCAGTAACAGAGGCGAGGGTGGATGGGCCTTAGCTGAGAATGTAGGGGACAGTTTTCAAATAGTGAAAAAAAGTGCCTTTAGAAGACTCTAAGCTGAAGATCAAGTCTGCATCTGGATCCACCCACCCACCCACCACCCCCCACGCCCCATGAGAGCGCAGACCAAGGCGGAGAGATCGCTGACCTTCAACAGATTCAGATAGGCCCAGTATACCGTGAGGAAGCAGCCTGGCCGACCATGAGAATATAAACAACTGTCTCTAGAAGGGCCATCTGACACACATCTCTGGATGTGTCTGCATATGTACCTGTGACTGTGCGTCTGCCTGCTTAATAGACACTCAGCAGAGAGCCTGCACAATCAGTATGGGTGGGTACCTGTCATACCTCAAAGGAAGCCAACTTTGGGCCTCTGGGCCACACCTCAAAATGCCCTACAGAATTTGGACCTTTGACAACACCCACTAGAAGGCAACTCTGAGGTAGAAAAGCAGAGTCTGAAACAGTGTGAAACTGTTCTTCAATAACTGCTGATGTATAGTTCAACTTATCCTTGACTCTAGTTATTATAAGAAAGCATCACAGTCTTAAATTATTTTCTCTTCTACACTGTAATTCCTTTTAGCTACTCCAGAGGCTCAAGCACATAGCATCAGCACTAAGTGCAGGAAAACAAAAAGGTGACAGGCCTGTAGCCACCACCTGCCCATATCATCTGCCCCCATCCCTGCCTACAGGGAGGCAGGGCAGCAACCTGTCAAGGTCTAGGCAGCGGCTGGGGTGGGGGCAGCTGCTGGTGGATCACTTGCAGCAGGAAGTACCTGTAGGACAAAAGCATCCTCGTAAGATGTCCTCCGTTTCCCAGTGTATGCTAAAAGAGTGAGACCTTTCTAGGGAACAAAGATGCTAACGCTTAACTGTAACACATATAAATTCCTTCTTTCCAGTGGGAGGCTATTAACATCAAGATGCTCTCCTATGTAAGCCACTTACGGCCTAGATGAATTGTCTGTGTTTACGCAGTGTGTGGGCTTTCAGATTAGGGTGAGGCCAGGTGGCAAGATCAGCAGAGGGAAGGCAGAACTCCTGGGCACCACGTGTAGCTGGTTCATGTACCTCTGCCCATGTTAGGCACTGGGTCTCAGCATCCTGAGCATGTGTTTTCTTTTTACATTCTTTTTTTTCTTTTTGGTGTCAGACTTGGGGCCTGAACTCTTTCACTTAAGGCTAGCACTCTACCACTTGAGCCACAACTCTACTTCTGGTTTTTTAGTGGTTCATTGGCAATAAGAGTCTCAAGGACTGTCTTGCCTGGCCTCAGACTTCAGATAGGATTAAAGACATGAGCCACCAGTGCCCTGTCTTCTTCTTGTTGTTGTTGTTGCTGTTATTATTATCGTTTTTAAGTAGTTGTACAGAGCTGTTTCAATTCAACATGTCAGCTGTGACCACAATGCATCTGGAGAAAAGTCACCTCTTTGTCATTCTCCTGTACCTCCCCACTCCACTCATCTCAACTCACCTGGTTCCATTTTCACATATGTACCTTGACTATTATGGCCTACCCACCTCCTAGTGACCTCAGTCCTGCAACATACACACCACAAGTTCCAGCTTCCTGATATTCATTTTGCCAAACTGTAAGGGAGTTGTTGAAGGGAATTAGACCATTGGAATCCCCCCTGCATATACCGTACTTTAGTATGTTTGTGAATGTATGCATATAACCCTGCTACTTACCTATATATTTATAATTTAGATCTAACTTCCACATGTGAGAAAAAAAATGTGTCTTTTATTTCTCTGAGCCTGACTTACCTCACTTAACATTATGTATTTCCATTCTCATTTTGCAGATGGAGAAATGGACTCATGAAAAGTAAACAACCTGCCTGCAGGGTTTCATACCCATACACGATTAGGCTACTCATACATGATTAGGCTACCCACAACCATACATGATTAGGTGAAGTTCACATGGAGTCTTGCATGTTCCAAGTGGCTAGATATAGGCTCAATCTCCAAATTGCTTTATATGAAACTATTAGTCCTAAAGAGCTGATATAATAGGATTACAATAACAGATTATTGGTTAATCCTAGAAATTACTTCCTGAGGCAACTTACCCTTTGCTGGCTCAGTTTAGAGCCATTCTAAATTTCTGAGGCTGGGGAAGTCCTCTTATAGAATAAAATGATATAATCCAGTCCACTTGCCACCCAGGTCAGAGAGTAAGTAAAAACACCTCTAGGCACCATTTAGAAAGAGTTGGGTTGAGAGGGATGGGGGAGAATGATGAAAGTGATGATGTCAATCAAGACGCATTGCTGATCAAGATGAGTTGCTAAGTGGTAACCCTTTGAAGAAGGAGGAGGAGGAGGAAGGAAGGAAGAAAAGGAGGAGGAGGAGGACGAGGAGGAGGAGAAGGAGAAGGAGGAAGAGGAAGAGGAGAAGAAGAAGGAGGAGAAGAAGAAGGAGGAGGAGAAGAAGGAGAAGGAGGAGGAGAAGGAG